TAGGCCTAGGCCTAAGTAGACAGTGCAATTTTATGTGATAGAAAGTACACTTTCGAAAGAAATAAATTAAAATAAGAAAAAAAATTAACTAGGGCCTAAGAATAATTCAGTTGCAGACGTACCTTGTAAAAGTATTATATGCTAACTATGCGGCTCGAGTAGCCATAGCTAGACAAGGTACTCATGTGCAAAGCAGTGGTGTTTATCCATGAAAAAAGCACGCCGGGAAAGTTTGCTTTACCAGGATAAGGTGACGTAATCTAGCTTATGACGTATACATGCTAACTTTAGAGTGTGATGTCACCAAAAAATAAAAATTTTCTATTATAACCAAAATATTAATAACTACAAGGTTTGTGGGCGTAAATTCCCTTAATACAAATTAAGGGTAGCACCATCTACTTGCCATACAAATTACAGCTCCCATTGACGTCTCAATCGAGAAATACGGGTAGCTGAAGTTTTTCTCGAAAATCTGACTACAAAACCAAATCGAAATTCACGTTCCACTTCTGACTCTGAGTTGCTTCGCACACGCCGCTGAGGGCGGCATTCCGGGAACCCTGCGTCTAGATTACACTATGTTGTTTATATGGCATTTTAAAAACAAAAGATTGTTATATATTGGCTAGTCAGATTCTCAACCAATTAAAAAATTAAATTACTTTAGTTTTCACACAATTTTGACAATTAGATTCTTTTTAAAATCTATTTAAAATTATTTAATGTTTTAAAAAATGCTTATTATTTTCAGATTGTTAATTCAATTTCTGCTATTTTACAGCATTTAAAAAGTTTGAAGATTAACAAAAATCAATTAATTTTTATTATTAAATTTTATTATTCAGGGCCATTTTTACCTAAATGTCATTTGGGAACATTTTTACAGAGGCCATTTTTTCCAGGACAGTTTTATCCGGGCGATTTTTTCAGGGACCATTTTTTCCGGGGCCATTTTTACCGTACAATAAGTGATGCATCTACACAAGACTTCGATGTCACCACTGCAAACAGTAGTCCCTATTGTATGAATTTGCCTGTATGAAAGTTTCTGTATTGATGTGAGTGACAAGTGTTCTGTAGACACTTGGAACGTGGCAGAAGGATTAAGGTGGCTTAATTCTCACTTTAAAAATAAACTAACACCATATTGTAGCTGCAGACTGGAGGATATGTGGCTCTGGCTATTCTAACACTAGAGAATTTACAACTTTTCACTTCCTCACAAATGTATTTTACTACACCACCATAACAGTTTTAAATTGTTTTATGATGTATTCACCCAATCTCCTGCTTCCATGACCAGCTCTTGTTACCCCTCCCCAAACCAATGCCCCTGTCCCCACTTGAACTTGATCCTGTTTTACGATCAGTTCTATCCACTATACTTTGCTATAAAAAAGTTATTTCAGACGATGCAATATTAATATAATTAAATAAGGTCTCCATCCAATTTTGGAACATAGGTTTCGATGGTCTTATAGTGAAACTGGTCCTTAAATTATTAAAGATAAAAATGGGCCGTCATTTGTGAGGGTTGCAGAAAAGTTTGTCCACATTTATTTTATTTATTTCAAATTTTGATTATACAGAGATTTGTAGAAAAGCAAAAGTCGTGGAAAGGGACGGTCTGAAATCACCGTTGAACAATTATTGCTATCACTGTTATTGCATCACTATAGAGCATGGTCATAGATAATTAATATACTGACATTAATCCTACATGGTCTAGACAGGATAATACAGGGGTCTTTGAAATATGTTTTACTGCAACATGATCTTATACATTATAAAAATATTATGATGCATTATGCAATGCATTATGCATTATGCATTACAGTATGTATTAAATTAGGTTAAATTGAGTTTTCATAACAATACAGTAATTATAAGAAAACAAATTTTAACCTTGTATTACCTTAGCCTTCAGCCATCTGTCTTTACGCCTACCAATCTTTATCCAAAGCTTTCTTTTGTTATAAATACCACAAAAATGTATGCAAATTTTTCAAATAACATACACATCCTCTTAGAATTTAGGTATAGTTATTGGCATCTAATTCTTTTTTAGAAAAGATTAATGAAATGGTATACATTTACTGTATTCCTATTTTTCCTATTTTGTGTAAAATCGTATGCAGTATAGTACTGTAGCTATTAATTTGGAAGATATCACATATTATGAGAGAAATAAAATTATGAATAATAATTACAGTATGAATACTGAGTATAAAACAAACAATAATTTTTTTTCTGATCTGACATTTCTGGTCAAAATCAAATTTATGGCATCAATCTAAGAACTATTACATTTTGATCATGTTTTATAAGCTTAGAGGTCTTTACAATATGCGCTATATAAGTCGACGATTAATTTTATTATCATATCGTATATCATATATTCATAAATTTTGTTATTTTTGATTATCAATTCATTTTTGTACATAATGAGACAAATTATAATGAGATATTTTAGAGCATCATGTATGTCTTGTGTAGAGGATTGCCACCTACTGTATTAGGCCAAATGAAAAAAATTACTAGTTTCTCTTCCCCTCTTCGAGCATCCATTATCTCTGCCTCCCCTTTTTTTTTTTGCTTTTTTCCTTTACGAAATTGTTTGTGGTTGGGGATACATATGGTATGAATCATGTCTAGTGCTTTAATTTGCTTTCAATGTGTTTACTTGGTAAAAGTGAGAAAGTAGTAGCTGTTTCCCATCGACCATCTTGGATTTGTCATCTCGGAGTGAAAAAAAAGTGCCCTCACTCTCCTTTCTTTTTATTAGGACGAGAAACTATTTTTTTTTTTTTACTTGGCCTTATTTCAGTGAATAATATATTAGTATTAGCAGTCCTTGGCCAATGTCAGGGGTGGTGCAAATGGTGGGGGGGGGGAAGGGTCATTAGGCCAGGTTCCCACTGGAGGGAACTGCCTCTTCCTGTTGGGAAAAAAAAACCACAATTAATTAGCGGAGAAAAAATAATTTTTATTAATTTTTAAGTCTTTTAAATCCATACATTTCTAGAAATTTCAGGGCTTGCTTCCTGGGTCCCTTAAAAATAAAATAATTGATATTTAGTTTGCATCATGCTTTTATTTCTACTGGTTAGGCCGACTCTTATCAACTATATTATTTCCTATGGTATGTTTGCTATAAAATATGTAAAAATGGATCGACCAACTTATGATGGTGCCAGTAAATCTATGGCATAAACTTTCCTTTGTAAACCCACTACCCACTCATAACGATGATCTGGAATAATATAAACAAACAAACAAACAAATAAATAAGTAAATAAATAAAATTCCTGACACAGTTACCTTGCTTTTGTTGTCGCACAATTTTGTTTGCACTACTCTGACAATCTTTCAAATATAAAATTTGCTAAAACAAGACCTGTACAAAATTCAGTGTCAAAGAAAAAATTAGAAATACCAACAAAACATTGATGACTGAAATCACTCTAGGTAAAGATGATTAAGATTTAAACCACATAGAATGATGAATCGATCCTTTTTACATGGTGAAATGATGTCACACATGTAATGTGTGGTTTTGTTTGCCGCATATATTTTTGTTGTATTTTCGATAGAAGCAATTTCATAGTCAGTAAATGCTTTACAGTGTTTAGTGCTTAGTTAGAGTATTGGTTGTGGAAGAGGAAATAACATTAATTTTGGTACTGAGAACATACTATGACCGTGAAGCTTTGGATATGGTGGTCAATTTAGAACATTATTCATCCAAAAAAGGAAATTTAATGTTCTACAATTGTACTGACACAAGGTTAACAAAATTAAAGGCCCTGAACTCCTCAAGTATGCTACATATACTATAGGCCATGTACAATATTAAAATAATTCCTTTTTATTTGTGGTCTGAAGAAAATGTTTAACAGTGATACACTAGGCATTATGCAGTAGGTGTCCTACTACTTTCTGATCCTGACAAGCCACCTCCCCCCACCCCCAGTCCCCCTCATTGTAAACAAAAATACAAAAATGGAAAAAAAGAAAGAAAGAAAGAAAAAGAAATACTGATCACCCAAAATGCCTCAGAGGTTATTTCTGGGCATCAGAAAACAACAATTTTGTGGGGGTATTCATCCTTACCTTCTAGGGTAGTGTTGTCTTTCGATCGGCCACCCTTTTTTGGGGGAGCCCCCCCCCCCCTTTTGAATATCTATGAATCTGTTCCCGACTTTTTGCCAGTCATCACGATGGTAAAATTTCCTAATTAAATGGTGGATGAGTTCTTTGAAAACAAAGGCCAACAGTATTTATTATTTTTCAGGGCAACATTCATGATTTTTGATTGCTTTTTTCTTGAACATTTCTTTCCTTAATAAATTATTGTTATTTTTAGATGGACTCAGACTGTTGGATTATGTGTTAAATCAATTTGAATTAGAATTAATAATAACTTTTTGTGACATTGCACAAACCCTGACCACATCCCTTTATCTCCTGTCTGTTCAATGTCCTTGGCCCTTCGTTATACCATCATTCCTTCAATACCTTCCATTATACTTTATTAGCACAATATGTGCTCTATAAGTTTACCAATATTTAATTTATTATTATTACACTGTCAGGGCATACTATAATTTTCCCATAGCTTGCCTATCTTTTTTTGTCTTCATTTTTTTCAGCAAAAATGCCAACAAAAATGAAAACAAGGGCAGCGAAAAAAGGGGTGTAATGTAACCACTCTTCTCCCCAGTTTTTCAATTTTAAAAAAAAACTTATCTTATATAATTTTTGAGCTTCTTTTCCTTCTAAAAACCATGCCATACCCCAAGTCACATCAGTCTGTGACTAATTGATTGACAGGTTTAATATGCACTGATGGCAAATACCAGTTGGAAGTAAAAGCACATTAAAATGATTTGGAGTTACAGTAAGTGTAAACCTACGGTATCTTTGCATTCCCTTGTATTTGGTCTACCACAATGCCAACGGGCAAAATTGTTTTAAATACTGTAGTCAACAACCCATCTTATTTTTTACCCTTTGGGACCAGACTATGGTATCAGAGCATTGTGTGAATTATAATAATACAGTCATGTCACTGTAGTGCTAGCGGTATGTTCGTAAACAATAACATACCATCGTTCACTGAATTCTTACAATTTTCTGTTTTCAGCTATTTACAATGCATGGTTACTAGTCACAATGTACACGTTTCCACTTATTTGTACCGTACTCTAAGATTCGAGGCTAATCGAGGTTAATCTCCTCTTTATGCTTTTTTAAAGCTATTTTGTTGTACTTGTACCGGTATTACTTTTGTATTTTACATGGACAATGTCTGAAATGAAAGTGAATGAATGAATAAATGAAACGATGCATTCCAGGGATTGAAAAACAATAAGCCAATTCATAGTTTAAACTGCACATGCTTGTATTGAGATCAATTGAACATAAACAAACACACACACAACATAGGTTTATATCGATTGACCATGGATACAATAGTTCAAACCATGAAATGGCATATTTTTAAAGGACAGCAAAGGTGAGGGATGGGGATAAAAGGTGCCTGTAAATGGTCCTACCCTCACCATCTGAATGCAAAGCACAAATGTGATACACAAACAGTGGATAAACCATCCCAGAACTTTTATCAAAAATTCAAAAGAACATTTATTTCACAAAAATAATAATAATGCAAATATAATATAATAAAAAAACCCGCTAACAGGTGACAAGACAATACAGACAAAGCGGACACCACGAGGCTGCTTAGAAATGCAATTTTTTTTTTCTTTTATAATTTTGGGACAAAACAAAGTGTAATGTGTTAGCAATAGAGATCGGGGATGGGTAAAGGGAATGGAAAATAATTTGATAGGAGGTGTTTTTTCAGTCTTGAACAGAATCTTTTTTTGGAATAGGAATTAAGGAATGGAGTGAGGGAGATTGGTCCAAAGTGTAGGACCTATATATATGGGCACCAAGGTGGTGGTAAGGTGCTTCTCACAGTCCCACCCCCTCTCCCTGTGAATGCAGAGGCTAAATAGTGGCCTTACCGGTGATAAGAATTCTTGGGTTATCAAACGTGTCAACATCAAACACTTGCTGACTTCTGGTTGATAATGAGAAAGACACAAGTTGCTGAAATCTCAGTAACTGTTGTTTTTTACATGAGTAACTCCCAGAAAGAGTCCTATTCACCAATGGACTGCCAGTAACTGCTCTACCCACCAATGTTCGAAGCATTGTCTTTTGTGTTCAATAATTATTCATTAGGCTGTTGGAAGAAAAATGTATTTTATTATAAAAATTATATTATTCTAAAGAATAACCTACAACTTATAAGCTACAGTAACCTATAGAATTGATGATCTTATTAAATTATATAATTGGTGGTCAGTAGGATAATAATAATAAATTAATTTAAATGTTTTATAGTAGCACAAGGAAGTATTAATTACAAATAATTTGAGTACATAGAGAGACAATTACTATGTACTATATTAATACATACAATGTCTCAATTACATTATGTTTTCTGCTCTATTTGTGTACAGTTAGTTGGCATACAGTATCTGTACATACATGCTACTGCAAAAATAAATATTTATTCATTAATAACAAATACATTAATAATTAATGAATATGCACATGTGACACATGTAAGTGACAGGTTTGCATGGATGTAATGTAGATTCTTAACTAAGATTTCCAAGTATCTAAGAAAATAATTTTTTTGAGGGAATGTAAGGATAGGCCTTGACTCGGAAGGAGTTTTCAGAATACAATCTCATGCCTGCAAATCTCTGCTCTATGCGTGTGACGACAACCTTAGAATGTGTTTGCATGAGATTGTACAGATACAGATGTAAGTCCACCATTATTATTATTATATTATTTACTCAGATGTCAGTTGGTGTAAAAATGAGCATGAAAAAAAAGCAATATAATATTGACTGTATTGCTTAGCCCTTGCACCTCATTGAGAGAAATCCCTTTTTTATATACCAAGAGGCTATTTACTAGTACTAATATCATTATTAATGTAAATAACCTTTATAATTGCCTAGGACCTTTAACTTTATATTTGAAATTTTGGCCGTGATGCCTTTCCAAATGGCCGGGTGCCTTTCAAAATCATGTCAAACCAGAGGCCATTTTTTCAATTTGGCCGTGCCCATGAAATCTACAAATTCTGATTGTATGTTAATTTAATTTATATTTATATTTTATTTGCGGGGCCTGGCCTACACCAGCCTTGAATTGTGAATAATATTTGTGAATGCGAATAAAGTACATTGATCTCCACAGACCATACAACTGAAGTAAACAGGCATACCTCTAAATACAATTGAATAAGAAAATATTCCCAATGTATGCATGGTTAATTTAGCCATGGAGGACTTGCCTTTAGTTTACTAGTAAATACAGTAGGCTTACTTGCTGTAGAGTCAGTCCTAAGGGCATTGCCCTCATTGAAAAAAAAAATCCCAATTCTTCATACACAGGAACAGGCCATCATAATCGTAAACATACTGTGATATTACTGTACAAACAACAGTACTGATATTTCAACACCTAGGCCTACCTGATGTTTACCGTAATAATAACAATATGTACTGTCTTTAGTATTGTTGTAATGTATTATTAGGCCTATCTATATATGGACCAACCACCGAGCAGGTGTGTGCCACTGTTCCTAAAAGGGAGGTCCAACAATATTGAAATACTGTACTGACACTTTTCGGTCAATACAAAGGAATGGTGACAAGCAAATTCGAAACATCATTTTTTAGCTTCCTGCAAGCCTCTCTCTGTGGTCAGCGGTTCCGTGGCGTAGCGTATCGTCTGACCATGATACTTTCTATATGATCGGACGACGTCGACGAGCGACTTCATGTGTGGAAACCGGATTTTACACCACGAGGAAACTACATTGTCATCCACCATTCGCTACTACTGTATTTTACTACAAAACAAACAAAACTTACTTTTAATGTTATAGAATCACTCACCGTATATACGCCTTACGATTAGCAGTAATATATTTACGAAAGAAAAACCGTGAAATTCCACACAAAATTTGTTCCACTCTAACCCTCTTGACGATAAGCCGAAATTAATGTCGATGTTTATGTCAATCGTTCAAAGAAATTCACAACCGATTGCCTTGAATGGTTGTGGGTGTCTGACCCAATCATGAATATGCATTAGATTGCTGTCGAGCCTCCTCATTTGTGCCAATCAAAATAGGGTATTTTGCACACCTTCAATGACGTCAGGCATCAACAACATACAACTCGGAGATTTGTCACTTCGTTTTGCGTAGGGTTATGTACAGGTCATTACATTCATTATTTTGGAACAGTGTCAAACCAGGGAGTTGTTATATCTTAACAACTCCCTGGTCACACGTATTTAACAGTGCGTCCAAAGACTAAGAAAAAAAAAACAAAAAACAAAAAAAACCCAAAAAAACCCCCAAAAAACAAAAAACAAACAAACGTTTAATTAAAGTTAAGAATTCTAAAATCTAAGAAATTTACAACATCAATGTTTCAATTACAATACCCCTCTCTACTCTATTATTTAAATGTTGTTATTGTAACATTATTAACTATACAACTAGAGTGAGTTTTGTTCGATTTTCTTATTTTTCGTATCTGTTTTAGAAGCAAACTCCAGAATGTATTCAACATAACCATGGAGAATTCCACCATGATATAACCTACATAGGCCCCATTATAGCGATAAATTGTCGTCTACCATATAGTAGATGATCGTATTCAACGTACTTTGGAGTCATGATTTATTACAATTTAAATTTCGAGTAGCAAACATGAAAGGTACACAATAAACTATGGAAATCGAGGCCAACAAGGCAATTGCGTGTCTTGGGTCAACACTTTATATCCTTTGCCCATGTGCCTAAATAATGAAAAAAAAAAGAGAAGAAAAAATCCTAAGCAATCAAATTAATTCACAGCACTGTGGTGGAGGCTCAGTCGATATTCCTACGACGATGGACTGGTCCATTCCCCGACAGGAAGAATGGGGTGGGGGATGAGGTGAACATTGTTTAAAAAAGCATCACCTCCATTCCGGCCGGAATTAACTTGGATAAGATACTATTTAAAGCTGTGTTTTCTCAACAAAATTGTATCCCAACGGGAAGAACGCACCAGGCCACCCAACTCCCCTATATCTCCGTCGCCGCTGGCGATTTTTCAGATCGATAAGTGATACCATGGATAGTCTAAAATGATTTGAGATCACCCTGAAAAAGGAAGCCATCATGACAATGTTTTAACATCCCATCACTTTCATAACGTATAAATAGACCGGTACACTACTTCAGGATAGGTACGGTACGATTTCACGAATATAAATCCCGAATATCTTACTCCTTTTTTAGGTGTACTAGCCTATAGATAGGCCTACTGTATTAATTATGCGTGAGCCTAATATTAATATATATATATATATATATATATATATATAGTTTAGTTTTGGCCTTCCTGTTTACTTGTTTAGACTGTTTATTTTAATCCCACCTAGCCCTGTCTCTTATACACATCTAGATGTGTATAAGAGACAGCTCTAGGGTTGGTACTATGAAAAGCTAGATGCCAGTCAATTCGAGCGGATGTCAATTCGAGCGGATGCCAGTTCGAGCGGAAGCATTTAGTGCGAACTATAACAAGGGCGAATTTATCGTCGCCGTATTCTTTTATTTGTTTGTTTTAAATAGAAAAAATGCTCTAATTACTAAGGTCCTGAAAGGTTTTTAGTACTTTTTGATAATTACTCCATGTTTGAATTACAGTCTTGGCAACTCCGACTACCAAGATGGCCGCTAACAAGTTAAAACTAATAGAATGGCGCACTTTTCAGCTTAAAAAAGAAGAAAGTGTATGTTTTACTAGAGTGCACGAGAAGCACACACACAAGACGAGTGACCATTATTTTTTTCATGGTAAACAAAGTGGGGTGGCTAGCCACCCTATTCACCACCTTTCCCAGATCCGCCTCTGGTTGGGGTCCTCTATTTAAAAAGCAAATTATATTATTTGTAATTGAGTTATGCTCACTTATCTATTCTGGAACTGTTGTGTTCCCACTTCCCCTTTGAAAATGTCAAATTTTTAGCTCAAATTATATTTGTAATTGAGTTATGCTACTCACTTATCTATTCTGGAACTGTTGTGTGCCCCTTCCCCTTTGAAAATATCAAATTTTTAGCTCAAAAATAGGAAATTTTGAAGTAATTCGTATATAACTCGCACAGGTTGTTTTTCGCACAAATGAATCTTCTTCCGCTCAAACTAGCATCTGCTCGAAAAAAATTTCGCTCGAATTGACTGGTTCCCGGCTAGATTATATCCTAAATAATACGGTAAATTTGATATTAAATTCATTCATTAATTATTTTTATGATTCATCGAAGCTTCTAAATTCTAACCCATCCCAGTGGAGAAGATAGGCCTAGTCGACCTCAGCTACATACCCGCGGTCCATGAATCGTACCTGATCATTGCTAGGCTTATGACCACAAATCAAGGCTAGACGGCTCTAGCTAGCTGGGCCTAGACTCCTTGCTATGCTTAGGCCTACTCCTCAGTCTGGGCCTAGGCCTAAGTTCTTGTTGGCCTGTTATAGAAGGTGATAATGTTACGGGTCAGTGAACAATCATCAAGCAACACTTCTGGTAGACAAACTTAATTAAACGCGCGCACGCGACGATCCACTTGCGCGCAAAAACGGCGCTGTCTATCGACGCGATGATAGACCAGGGTAGCATACGATAAATATATTATAATTATGATGGAAGATGTGTTGGAATGCTCTTTTTTTTAATTTGATGCACAGTAGCAGTACTACTAGTTCGCACATTCACTGCGTTATACAACCGTGGTATGACTGTTGGGTGGCGAATCCATCTCATCATTTAAACAATGCGTTGCGCTCGCGTTGTGTTGTGGCATTTTATTCTCCATAGAATCGCATCGGCCAATGACCACAGTGAGGGCCCAGCTTGAGAAAGCATAGACTTAAGCTTCAAACCTTACTGTAGTTATTTTGGCCATCGGTTATGGATTGCCAAGCAAAATGTGTATGGAGAAAATGTTTTGATCTGTATTCTATTGAAAGATTAGTACCTATTAATATAATAAACACATTTTAAAGTGTTTATTATATTAATAAACATTTTAAAAGTGTTTATAAATGTAATAAACACTTTTAAAATGAGCAACATATTTAATTTAATTTTAAAGTGTTTTTTTGCATTTCATCACAGACAATATATCGTTATTTATATGTAATGTTCTGTAAATTACCTAAAGATTTGTTTATGTAAAATATTTTAAAAGAACCTTAATTTCAAACTTGATTTGTTACATTTCAGGCCCAAGTAATGATGTCAGAAGTGATACCGCTGCATTCTTCGGAGGGCCAAAGACTCCGAACAGAGACATCTCAAAAGGCCTTGCACTATCAACCAATACTGTACAAAATTTTCCAAAAACAGTTCAACTCAACGTATTGTGGACTGGTCAGTAGCATAATGGCAATGAATGCTAACTTTATTGGCCAACATGGTCACTTTCAAGATGGCAGCCCTCATGTCCCGTTCACTGAAGCAAATATCTTTACATTCAAGGAGACACAAAACATTCTTAAACAGTCTGAGGTTGAAAAAGAAGGTTGCACTCTGGAGCAGGTTCACGACTTAATAAGAGCTCATGGCTACAATTCCGTTTTATATCATGCCGCTGACAGCTCTTTGGAGGAGTTCTGTGCCAAAGCTAAATGTGCACTCAACCAGAACTCACTCACTTCAGTTATTATTAATTATGACTTGAAAGTTATTTATCCGCATCAGAACGTTGGTGGTCATTTCAGTCCTTTGTGTGCGTACCATGAAGAAAGTGATCGCTTTCTCATCCTTGATACTTGGCCGAAAACTGAGGAATGTTGGGTAAAATCTGACCATTTATTTAACTCTATGAACACTGTTGATCCATCAGTTTCAAAGACTCGAGGCTACATCATTGTCTCCAAATAATGAAGCTTAATACTGTCATAATCAACACCGTATACTGACATGTATTTATGGTAAACACTTAGAAAGCAAGTATAGTACTAAGAGTTGAAATAATGTTATTATTAGACCTTAATGATCAACAAGCACCAAGTTCTGAAATAATTTCCTAAATTGTGTTTTAAAGGTTTTTGATGGTTTTTTTTTTTAAGGCAGTGTATATATAATTCCGGTCTCTATCTAGTTGTTTCACTCCACTGTCTGCAGGAGGAAACCATCATCCCCTAAACGCCCTCGTTTTATCTATCCACCTTCTTTTCTGTCTGCAGAACTTGGCAAGACACCAATTTGTTTACAATTCCAAGTTATGAAACTCTGTATGCTGCATAGGCCAAGTATTGTACAGACATTATCAGGCTTAGAGAGTGGAGTTTTTAGCTGTGATAAAAAACCTCTCACTGACAGGAATCAAACTCAGGACTCAGAGATGAGCTTCTTCTACCGGGTAGCTCAGACACGAAGATTAGGGGAGAAGAAAGTTACTGTGTACTATGTAATTCTATACCAAGCTATAGCTCCTTTCATCATTGTTCTGCTTTTAGGCTGTTTCTTGGTTAAGTTTGATATTTATTAATTACTGTATTAGTATTTATATATTTCAAATTTTTTACCATTTCAAAATTCTGATGTATATACATATATTGTGAGAATTTTCTGTCTGAACTGTTGAATCAGTGACTTCCCTATTATACTATGGAACAAATTACCATTTTTCTTTGGTACGATGTTATTTATGCAATATCGGTGCAATATACAGTACAAAGGAGCATTGGCTGCATAGACATCTGTAATTTTAAACAACTCAATATCGTAACCGTACCGTGTAATATAACTAGTACATATGCAAAATGTATGTTGTATGTGTATTAGTATATCAATGCAGATCTGTAAGATAGCAATTTAATTGACATTTGCATTATAAGTTCATGATACAAAAAACATAACACAAAATTGACTAATAAGGTTGAAAGGTATTGGCAATAGGAATACTGTAGATATTTATTTTATTCTCATTCAACAATGAGTGACTGTATGAGCCATGAGTAAAAGGCCTGGTGCAATGCAGGATTTGAACCCAAGCCCCTGGATGGAAAGGCAGGTGTCTTAAACCACCAGGGCTACAGCACCATAATATATGGAAAAATTACAGCACAGTATTGTGCGTGAACACAAATGAATAACAGAAACATTAACATCAAATAAAACATTTATTTTGTGACATTAATTATTAAACATATTTTGTTTATTATTGCATCATAACATGATCTTTAAAAAAATCATGTTAAAATCATGGTAAAATTTAAATATTTACCATAAAATACTCTTGGTCCAATATGCAGACATTTCTGGATAAAATAAAATCTGTTTTCCTGATTATTATATATATAATTACTGTAATTTCTTAGCTACAAACATGCTAAATTCAATTCATTAAAGATTATTTTCGACAATAAATTTTCCTTGATTCCTTATTTTGTTGTAAATGCTTGATTTCACTGGTCCACTTGGAAACAGGACCCCCTTACCCCAATCAGAGAAAAAGTCAATCATTTTGCACCTTAAAAGATGACTATCTTAGACCGCTTATCAAATGATAAAAAAGGCTACAATCAATCACTTATCAGGAGACCAAGTCTCCTAGAAAAATCTTGACAGCCTCCCGCAAGCAAGAATCTCCCAGAAAATAACCTATCTCCTGCAAATTCAAAATATTTGCATGTTTTTCCTACTTTAAGCCTGTTTTCCACTTGCGAATTCATTCACGCGAGTTGAAAGCGTCGGCTCATTTAAGCAGATCTCCCAGAAGGAACTTCCAACTTGGATTCCTGACTTATATTAAGAATGGCTGTTTGAAATTGTTTTTTTAGGCAGTGGCTATTGTTACACCAGTCTGAAACCAACTTTTGTTAATTTCCTAATCCAACTGGAATTAAGAATTGGTTTCAGAGTGGTGTAACAATAGCTACTGTCTGTTTTTGACTCTGACCAGTGAAAAACAGTATAAACATCTGGCTATTGCTTATAACAAAGCTTTCTAAAACATATGTTAATTTGCTGGAGATTCACAGTCCTTGGAATATAAATACCTTTTATGTTCATATTTAATAAACTTGAACTATAACTACATACACTGAATTTGAATATTGGAGATCATTAGCAATTGCTTTTGAATTCATCAAAAATATAAGCTGGTATGTGAGCCTCAACCATCTGAAAAATAAATAAGAATTAATTTCACATTTGAATATCAGGGGCCAATTTGGGGAAGAGGGAGGGGCGGACGGGCCGGCTGCATCCCCTCCTTTCTGGAAAGTTAATAAACAAGGATAAAAAAAGAAAAAGAAATGATTGATCTCCTAAAATGCTTCAGAGGTTTTTTTCGGGCATCTAAAAAACTAAAAATTTGTGGGGGAATGTCCCCAGACCCCCTAGGGTAGTGTTGTCTCGATCAGCCCCACTTTCGAACATCTCTGGATCTGCCCCTGACTATAATTACTGTAATATTGAAAGCTTAATTTATTTAACAACAAGCACTAAAATCATTTGGAAATCATTCTATGTTAACACAGTATTAGGCAGCTGTTAAGCTTTTCCACTATCAACATTTACTGCGATTTATGCCAGGGGCGGATTTAGGGGGCCCCCCCCCCCTTTTTTGACATTTCTGGATCCGCCCCTGTATGCTTATTTATAACCAAATGAGAAAACAACTTTTACACCAACCCAACTAAAGCTGATGTTTTATCATCATTATTATTAGATAATACCGTAAATAATGATGTTAAAACTTCTGGAGGAGTATAGTAACTGCAACAAACCTTCTCGGGAGTTTTATAGAAACACAATCCTATCTTAAAAAGTATTATCAAGAACTAGAAGGTGTCCTTCAAAAGAACGTAAAAGCTGTTCATATTGGATGTGTGCTAAGCATAGAGCTATGGCGCAGCAATGCAAAGTTATGTATGTGTACCATCCAAGATGGCCGTCGTAGTAAAGCGCCACCATCAGGCTTAGTATACATATTATTACATATTAATAAGCCCTCTGACTGACTATTATTTCATTAATGATAATGTGCAATGGTAATAATAAATTATTAAACTATTGTAGCCAAAACGAGGCCAAGTGGAGCATCTTATTCAAAAATAAAGTACCAAGGAATGATAATTAAAATCGTGTACATTACACCCAAACACTGCAACGCTCGAGTTTCAAACATATGGGTAATTAGCTGTACTGAAATTTCTGAGTAAATTGAGGGCGCAATTGCAAATGATGGTGCTTAGCGAAATTTGATTGGCTAAATCTATGGCAGCCATCTTGGATGGTACACACACACAGTTCTGCGTATTTCGAACATCGAATACATTGTGGTTAGCGCTCTAGTATTCTTATTATATCTCTATGGTGCTAAGTCTACTTGCATTTCTGAGTTTTGAACTCTATTCAAATTCTCCTAGGGCGCCCCCTATCTTGTAGTTTGTATTTGTTTCATTGTGTGCATACCAAAGATCTTATAATTAAAAGATAGCACTCTCCGCGATTCTATGCATAACAAATGGAAGCATCTATGTTCAGTGAAAAGCAATAGAAAGTAATTGTAATTGAGAGAAGATGTCCTAGTTGTTACCATGTTTGGTGTTCTAGAATTTGCACGTAGATAGTCGATGTCAAAGTTCAAAAGTAATTGTAATTGCAAGAGGGCACCACACTGCATTATTACAGAATTTGCTATGAGAACGCTATCTTTGTTAGAAGATCTTTGGTGCATACACAATTAGGATAGTCAGACCTCTTCCAATTCTATACACTTTGATAATACCTAATCCAGTAGTATCTGTTCTGGAGCCAGTGGGTGTAGTCGGGAGTCGCTCAAAATCCAATGAAAGTGGTCCATGGGGCGAGGCCCCCCTAGAAATATGACAATTCCGGGGGTTTCAAAGGCTTATTTAATCAATTTTAGAATAGAAAATATATAATTTTTTTTCTCCCCAACGAAATGTGGTTTTTCTCCCTGACAGGGGGGGGGGGGGCTGTAGCCCCTCCTGGCACCCCACCCCCAATGGCGCCGCCACTGATTCTTGCATTATAATGCCAATGTTACATTTATGTATAACAAAAAAGGCACACAAATTTAATACAGACCCCAGATCTGACCCTGTGGTCTTATAGAATAGAGGACCATAGTAGCATTTGTGTCTTACCTTCCTAGGCAGTGACCCATAGTGGACAAAGTCATCAAGGAATGCCAAGACATTCATGGCCTCGACAGGCAGTTCAGGAGTCTTTGATCTACAATGAAGAGAGTGAACATCAATATTCGCATATTTTGTGGACACAACTGCAATCTTTATGTTGTATATCGATTTACTCATAACTAAATATAGGTCATTAACAGCAACAGTATACTTTATATATATTTATGGAAGTGGTATTGCGTAGCGGGAACAGTTTGATTTCCCAACCTCAAGGTCAGGGTTTCAATCCTTTGTGCATTTAACTTGTGTGCTTCAGCAAGGACCCTTAGTGTACCTGCATTGATTCTCTCCACCCAGGATTATAAGTGGGTACCTGGTAGGGTTAAATGCCAAAATGCACTGATTAGCTGCTGTAACATTATTGAATATTCCCCCGGGAAGCTGAGTTTTTGTTCCATAGGTGTTTAATCCAATGACTGGGGTAATGATAATGTGAAGCGCAGAGAAGGTTTATCATAATGTGCTAATTAAGTCTAAAAATATTATTATTATTAATATTAATAAAAGAATTTGAATAAGAATTAACACACTGATAAGAGTGGGAGGATAGTCAATTTTCATTTATTTATTTATTCATCTTCGTAGAAGCGGTTGGACATCGGTTGTGGCTTGGACTCCCAACCTCAAGGTCAGGGGTTCAAAACCCTCGCTGTGCAAGTCGCTTGTGTTCTTGGGCAAGGCACTTTATCTATGTTTGTCTCTCTCTACCCAGGAGTTTAAATGGGTACCTGGTAGGATGCTGTGGCATGGAATTGATTAGTTCCGTGCGCTAAGCAAGTAGCGCACGACTAGGTATACTTCCCAAGGAGCAGGGAAGGTTGCACTTTGTGTGCTGGTTTGCCATTGTATGTTATCCAGAGTACCAGGGGTAATTACGCTCAGCGCCTTTGATCATATAATATTAAATTGGCACTAAATAAATATTCAAGTATTATTATTACCATTATCTCTGAAAATAATAAAATTAATAACAATTAAATACTAAACTTTAATAAAAAAAAAAAACCAAAAAACTGTATTATAACAAAAATGAAAATAGAAAAATCGAAACTTACACAGTAGCTGCAGCTTCAACATGAGACCTGACATACTGGCCAAGTAGTGCTAAGAACTGATCAGTGTTCTCTGAATGGAACTGTTTCAGAAGAGTAATGGTTCCAGCAATGAATGGTGGACCATCAATAGGATCCTTAATTTGCTTAGCAACCATACTTCCTGTAACCAAACATTAAAATAAAAATTAGAATATATTCCAGTACAAACTAGGAAAAACATTTCAGCATGAAATATAACTTTACAAGGTAAAGCAGCCTTTGGTGACAGCACTCATCATTCTTACCATGATTATGACCATCCTGCTGATCATCACCACCATAATGATAATCATATAAATATCACCATGATCATGGTCATCACCTGTGATCATAACACCTGGATCATGATGATTATCACTAGAATTATCATGACCACTATCATAATGATCGTGATCATCATCATAGTCATTATCGTCACTGTGATCATCACAATGATCCTAATTCATTGCTACCACAATTTCCATTTTCTAAATCGAATTACTAAAACTTGACAGATGCTTGCAACTCACCTACTGACTTGACGTACTGAAGTTTTGGTAACTGCGATGTCACGAATAGGAAAGTTATCAGGGAAAGATATGGTACCCTCTTTGTTGTGATATAAATCTACAAAGACAAAGATGTTATTATGTTATACAATTTATACTTATAATGATTAATAAAATTAATATATATGACTAAGTAAACATTATTTTTGTTGTTTTCATTGTTGTTATATTATTACTCTAATATTTAACCATTGCCTGATTTAAAACATTTGGTAATCAGTGAAGTACAATGCTCCTGGGATATTTAACTAAAATGATTAAACTTTACAAAAAGATTTCATCAACAATTACCATTTTTTACATACATTTTACAATGTATTTTCTGGTACATTCCAAAGCAGTAAAACACAACCATTTTAAATAGTATTAATGTCACTCCTACAAGCCATTATATTTTGTAGTTAGGTAATTGATGATTTATTTTATTATTTTCATTTATTACTTTTTATTTATTTTATTTCTTGTACATTCTCACACATAACTTGCACTAATCTATATTTGATACTCTTTTCACATCCTAATAGTTTCTAACCATTTTAGCTACTAGAGTATAACAAAACACCACATGTTTTTGTTTTGTTATAAGTCACTGGTACATTTGTTCTACTGTATTACCTTTGCAAGTGGTTGGCAGAAGCCAGCTGATTCCAGGTAAGATGACAATTCGTACATCAAAGGATTATCTTCTTTGGGGTATGGCAGTGTGGGATCTTGGTAGTGGGCCTCAACATCCTTCAACAAACCCCTTGAAGTAGAAAATATCCAATTAGATTGAGTCTTAAAAAAAGAATATTAGATAAAATTCAATAAAATTGAGTATCTCATGTATGACATATCCAATCAAATTGGGTGTTGCATCAAGAGTATTAAATGACACCTAATCAGAAAGAGACATGGAAAAAGGATTGACTAAAATTTCTAATTTTATTAAATAGATTCCAAAAGTTAAAATAGTACATCATATTATATATTGTAACAAGATATCAAACGACCGAAATACAAAGGACATCTAATTTGCATAAACAATCTTTAAATACTTTTATACACATAAAATGAACTTGCATAAACCTTCTTTACATACTTTTATTTACATACAATGAATTTGCATAATTCTGAATGAACACACATTCCGCTTTTTCTATTATACATTTTTTATCAATGATCTCAAAAAGATATAAAAAGCTGAAAGAGAGTTAATAATAATAATAATAATAACTATATTTAATAAAGCGCAAAACAATATCCATTTAAATGATCACCGGCGCTGTACAGAATTTAAAATATACATTTACAAAAAAAATTTTTTTTAAATACATAAGAAATATACATAAAAAGTTAAAATAGAAAAAATTGGGACATATAATCATCACAAAATCACAATACCATTGTGATTTGCTTACTTGTTCATGGTTTCCAAACCATTTGACAGGAAATTAGAATCAAACTTGCAAGAGAACTTGAGGTCGTTGGCAATAAGTCGCCGTAGCAACTGCATCTGACCGACCTTCAGCACCATGATGATGAAAGGTTGCCACATCTTGTTGGCTTTGTTGACAAACTGGGCATAATGCTTTCCAGGGTTAGCTAATGAAAAAAGTATGATATTAATAATGGTTTAGACTTAAAATCAGGCCTAGTGTATAAAAGTTGAGTACCATAACCTCCATAGTACAGCTCCATTTGAAAATTTATTTATTTCAAGTACCTCTTTTTTTATTATAATCTAATAAAAACAAAACTAGTATATCTTCTTTGATTTGTAAAAAAAAGCGTATTTAATCTTTTCCTTACCTACTAATCCTCGCACAGGATTAAGTGATTTCATGAGATTGCCAAACATATCAAGCCACTGCTTATCACGGAGTACGCCTCGTTCCAATATCGCTAAAAAATTTTGCAGTTCACGAACTATCATGAAGCAGAGAAGTCGATCAACACCTGTCAAACCACATGTACCGATACTTTGCTGAAAAAAACAAAACAGCAATAAAGTACTTATCAAATGTTCTATTGAATAAAACAACTGGACATTCTAGAAGAAATAATTTTGCATATTTAATTTTCTCACCTGCATTTTAGAAAAGACACGTTTATCAAGAACCTCCGTCTTGTTTTTCAACTCATACCAGGTGTTCATTTGGTCAATGAAAGAAGTTGTTCTGAAAGCATGAAAACAGCTAAATCATTGATGATATATTGAAATATAGGCATTGCTGATGTCCCTGAGTGAAGTGGGCATGGTTGGGCGTAGCTGAAAATCTTTCAGAAGTGGTCCAGGGAATGAAGACAAAAAACTACCTATTTTAGGGGTTTCAAATGCGTATTTATTTGTTTTTAGAGTCTGCTAATACTGTATGTTAAAAACACATATTTTGTTTTCCCCTCAATGAATTAATTTTTTTTTCTCGGTGATGGGGGCCCTCTTCTACTGCCAGCCCTGAGAATTGCACTAATCTGTTATGTTGCTTGTCAATGGTACAGAATGCCCCACTGCCTAAGACAAATGGCAAGCCTAAGGTTGAATAACAGCCACTTTAACTATAAATCTGTTGTAACACTAATAAAATATTACATTTTATTATTCATAGTGCTAATTTATTTTTGCATAATCTGAAGCGTAATTGTCTTGTTAAAGGTTGGCATACATATGCATATACATGCAATTGCCCATTGTAAATATTTTTTTTAGTATAAACCAACACACATTATTCTTTGGTAATCAACAACTGAAATGCCAATACAATAACCAAAGTGAAAATAAATGGAAGAACCATTCTATTTTTTGTGGGGGTGTTAAAAGTTCAATAGCAACAGTTGGTTTATCCACGTAAACATTAAAAAAATAGACATAAAAATAACTTTGTTTGAATGATGAGAATATCGAGATTGAGAGATAAACTGTACATACAATGGATCTGTCATTCGTAGAATCTCCCTGACAAGTCTCCCCATGAAATTAATGGACACATCCACTGGTGGGAATCGTGGGATAGGAATCGTTGGGGACTGGTAGACACTCTCCCAATCATGAACCTTGAAAAACAAGAAGGAAATCCATGACAATAAACATCATCATAAGAGTGACGCAAACTTGCATCGAAATAATAAACATCATGTTACGTAATCTCATAATTTGTTGTTTGTCTTTTATATTCATAGTTGTCATTGCTGTTGCCATTGTCACCACTGGTAACTGTCTAGCCAACATGGTCATCAACATTATCACACCCATGATATTGATCATATTTTTAAACATTATTATCAAATTATCATTTCTTTTGTCACCATCATTGTTCTAGTCATTTCCATAAATACCCAAGATCCTCTTGTTACAGTGACTTACCTTGGTCCTCAGAAAACTGTTGCATTCTTGTTCAATGTTGTAATTAATTATGCGCGACACTTCCTCATGCCAGATCTTCAGCCCATAAATATTGACATAGTCTTGAATGTATTCAAAAGACCGCACAAAGCCATCCATCCTAGCGCCGAGACTTTCCAATCTCGATACCAACTCTCCTTGCTGTAAATACAAACACTTAACATTGATTATCAACCAAGCAGCAGACAAAAGTTTAATTCATGCCTTGAAATTCTGTAATATCAGCACTCTGCTGGCATGTATAGATATAAAAAATGTGCAGCTTGGTGGTTAAGATGCTTGCCTAACAATCCCAGGGGTGTTTGTTCAAATCGTGTAACACTAAAAAGCGTTTCCAATCTATAAGCTTCTTAGTTTATAAAGCATCACATTATTTAATTTATTCCAGGTAGTCCTGAAAAACAACCAAGCTTTTGGAATAAGATGGACGATGCACCTTCTATGATTAGGATCAAAAAGTGTAGAGTACGTGGGCCACTTGGACATAGCTGGAATAGAATCCTTACACAAGTTTGTAAAGTGGGGTAAATTGGGCTTACAAAGACCTTGGCTAAGTAATTTCCTTGTCTGCAAATAATAAAGAATATTCCATATACTATTATAAAAGCATTATATGGCGCTCTACAAAGAACACAGCGCACAGTTATTTTTGTTCCACAGAAAGCCAAATGTTGTTCAATGTTTATGTATGTACAAATAAATAAAGAATATTCAAATGAATAAATAACATACCTTGTTTTTGTAGTTGAATGTGAGGCCGCTGTGGAGCGCTGATGCAACTTGCATGACAAGCTCCTTCCTGATGCCATCTTCAAGTAACTGCTTAGGATCAATCTAGAAAATAAAGATTATAAACTAGGTTTTCTTTGTACTTAACAGACAGTAACCAAAACTTAATAATTTAAATACTAAGAGTGTACCTTTCAGTATAAGGGAACAGGCCCAATACATATAATAAATATACATAAGCTACCATGGCAGACAGGAGACCAAGGGAGCCTAGAGGTCGGCATGCAAGGCAGGGTAGCTTGGGAGCCTTGAGAGGCAACCTAGTGAGGCTGGACATCAAGACAATATAGCACATGCTAGTAACGTACACTACAGATACAGCTACAGGATGGCAACGCTGGCTAGCAAGGCCCTGATTGTGAGGCAAGCTACTACTACTACTACTACTAGGACAGGCTACCAAGACAGGACAGTGAGGCAAAACTGCAAAGTAGGCAAAAGAAAGGCATGGCATGTGATTGAAGACATTTGAGAGAAATATATCAAGTACAAGTAAATAATAAAAATGAGAGAGCTTAGGTATATAATGGTTGGAGAGTAGAAAAACTACCTTAATTATCCCAACCAATGTAGTCTTCATCATCAGAATTCCCTCTGTAAATACTGAGATTGAGTGGGTTAAGCGAGCAACCTGCAAATATTAATAATGCAATAATGATAACAAAATAATAATAGCATGAAACATAGACATTAAATCTCTGATGATGAATAAAATGTATTTTATGTAATTATTATTATTATTATTATTATTATTATTATTATTATTAAACTTGTAATAAATTTATGTATCAACTGTACCTCATATCTAAGATCAAGTTGTGCATAGTCCCTCAATTTATCTTTCTCAAGCCTAGTAGGAACCTCTTTGATTGAGTTGGTTTGCAGTTGGATAATTTGCGACAGCAGGCTAAACATTGTTCGAGGGATGATCTGAAGAACCTTACGGACATACGCCACAAGCTCTCCGGAGTAGTACTGTGAGACGCTGACAAGATCAGGGCTTTGCGCTTGATTGATACGTAGCAACGGTAAATCAAGAGCAGAGGCAAGCTGATGAAGAGACATTGAAATAAATTGTGTAACGATATATTGTCTAATAGTATAAAATATAGTAGAACATGTACCTTGGGAAACCCTACTAAAAAGAGGACACCACTATTAAGGGACACTTTTTCTGTTAACACTATGGCCAACCAGTGCCACCGAGAGGGGGAAAGATCCCCAGGGCCCAAGCTTACCAGAGGCCCATAGAAATTGCAGGTAACGTTTTTTTTTTACAATAACTGTTCCAATATTCTTTTCTTTACATGGATTCTTAAATTGGCTAGTGTTGAATCTGTAAATCAACACAAAAAAAAGAAAAAAAAAAACATGATTGCTTGTTGAAAGATCTTAACAGGTGCTCTACTGTATATATATATTAAAACAAAACAAAAAACAAAACAAAAAGATTAATATATTCAAAAATCTTGTTTTGTATAAGCCAAGTTATCAGCTTTCAATTGAAAATAAGAACAAGGAAATATTTTTCACAACTCAACAGAAATACAATAACTATTTCTAAATTCTTTACTTAACATGGATTCTTAAATTGGCTAGTGTTAAATCTGTAAATCAAAAGAAAACAAAAAACATGATCGCTTGTTGAGCATAACCTCCAGATAACTAGCCTGGTGTCTTAACCACTATAACACCGACATTTGGCTAGCGTTGAATCCAACTTCCAATTAGCAGTGGGTACTGCAATTCTGCTGTATTCTGATTGTGTTTTCGTCGGGAGCAGTGGCTATTTTTGAATCTGATCTCCAATTTAATTATTTTTTCAGATATTTCTAGGCCGTATCTTTGAGGTTGCACCACACTGGTGGTTGCATGCTACTGTTCTCATAGTGAAATTGTGGATGATGTTGATGTTAATGACACTGTTGTTGTTTTTATAATAATTGTGCAATATTAAACAGTATAATAGTACAGTAAACAAATTTAATTGAAGAGCTGCAGATAATTTTTGTATTTTAATTATTATTTTTTAATTTTTAATTAATTTTTGTAATCTACTTTTATGTAATGATCTATAATATAAAATTAATATAAATTTATATATATATTTTTCTTATTCTTGTTATTTATTACTTAATTTAATTTGGTTTTTTTTTTGGTGTAAGTATGAATTGAAGTTATAAATTGAAGTGCAATGTATTTTATAGCTTAATAATTAGATTCGTTTTTTATACTTTTATCTATTGTAATACAAACATTTTTAGCTGCGTGCTACCGTTTTGTACATTTTTTCTATACCGTAATAAATAAATAAATAAATATTATAACAATAATTATTCAGCAGTTAAAACCTTTAAGAATGTGGCTCTTAGTTTTGTGACCAGTGCTGGGTTGCTCTTAATTCCTGCCTGCATGTAATTTGTATATCTGTCAATTAACTCCCAGGCATATGACAAGTCAGCTACGATCTGCATAGTAATTAGGACATCCTCTTTGATATTGATGGTTCGGATCATCTGGTGAAGGTATTTCCGAGTCTCTGCCAGGAACTGGCGCACCTGCAGATTTGCTTCTAGCTGGTGAAACTCTTGGACCTATGAGAACATAAATTTTAATGAGAAGATGCATTTTTTTTTTTTGTAATTTGAAAATGATTGACATTTGCTTTCCTTTTTGCACAATTAGTGATCATATTATATAGATGCTCTGGGCCAGGGGTGGGCATAAAAATCGGTCAGAGGCCCGAAGTGAATTTTTGATTTAACGCCTAGGGCCGCAACCAAACTTTGATGTTTCCAGTGAGCTTCCAAAAACCTCCAAGCACTGCTTTTACAGCACTTTATTCTCACTTTTAATGTTACTTTTTACATATGATTGGTGTTGGGCCATAAAAAAAACAAGGTGTTTTCTAGCCAATTTTGATTGGTGGGCCGCAAACATAGGGTTTTTAAATCATTGTCGCAGGCCACAAAAAAAAATCGCTGACAGGCTGCACTTTACCCACCTGTGCTCTAGGCACCTTAATTACTTGATTAGGTTTGATCATTAAATTTTTTCTAATTCCTTCCTTTGTGTCCTTTCTATTCTTTCTCTTCTCACCATTATTTCACCATTCCCACCATTCCTTCACTTGTTCCTTTTGCTAATTTGTTTGTTCTTTCTTTTTCCTTCATCATTTATTCATCACTAAGTCAATTAATTAACTACATGACTATTTTAAATTTTTTTAATGTGAAAAAAAGGGTAGCTTAGTGGCTAAGGCGCTTAACCTTTCAATAAAATGTTCTAACTAAAAATTGCATCTCTGCACCTACCTCCTCTAGGGCTTGAATCAGTTGAACAATTTTACGGCCAGCTGATGTGGAGTCATCATAATCCAACGACGCAATCTGCTTTGCCATTTCACTGAACCACATCTTAAGATTATCTACCAAATTGAGATTAAGAATAGTTAATTAACAAGTCGCCTGAAATGGTGGTAGCCACTGTGTGTGTGTGCTGAACCGTGGAGATCTCTAGGTCCCCGGTTACATTCCCATCACTCTCTCCTTGCGTTTCAGCTGGAGGGCTTAAATGCAAGTTATGATAACGCGCCGTCTTACAGATGAGATGTTTATGTTGTTGGTCCTGTGTGCATGATGAGTGTACTGCATTCTATACTGCAGTACTCTCTTCAAAAAAGAGTAGGGAATTGTCTCCCACTGGAAATAGTCTTCTTCAGATATTTGTGGGTTACCCCTGGTGCTTACATCCATCCATGCAATTTGTTAATTAAATAATTAAACAAAAAAATTCAAAGAAGTATAACAACTCAGTATCATCAATATTACACACTTGTAAGTCATGTCGAACCTACCAAAATATCTCAATATTACAACACAAGCTATTAGTAATGTCTTGAAAATTCTTGAGTTTATAGAGTACTCATTACACATACCATTATTAATATTTTATCAATAATATATTCATTCAGTGTGGTTAAGTGTTGAGCCACTTTGATTAGAAAAAATTCTTTTTTTCTTACCATTCCTGGCAATTCTTGTAAGGGGTTTAGTTCCTGAGAAAACATCTCCTAATTCCTCCATTCTCTCTCGTCCTTCCTTTTGGTAATCCTGACATTTCTGCTGTTTCTCTATCAACATTTTCTTGAACATCTACAAAATCATCAAAAACATCTTCTACAATTTTTACTTGAAATGTATACTTGCAAACATATCTTGACACAGAAGAATGGAATTCATTACGATGTATTTAAGTCTCCTACAATTCAAATACTTGAAACCAGAATAAACATGATTAATTTGTGCTGAGTTATTTAAACAAAACAAAATTCATTTAATCTGGTCAGTGCAGTTGTCATGCAGTGGGCGGTGGCAGAGCCGAGACACTAGATCTTGGTGGACCCCAGCATACCGCCCTGTCGTCTGCGTGCGAAGGGCCTCAGGAGACAATTGTGCTGTCCTGATATCTCATGATTTACCATTGTTTGTTTGTTTATTTTTTATTATTACTAACTTTTATTTATATATTTATTTTATTTTTTTAATTATTTTTTTATATTTATTTTTTTATTTCTATTTAAAAAAAATATATATATATTTATTAATTTATTTATTTTCTTTCCCTTTTTGACTGTGACATATGTGAGTACTGTACAACACATTGTGCGAGTATAAGTAACCGAGGTTATGCTCAGTAACGGAAGATGATGATGAGTTAAGCACACAAAGAATCTCAAAGAGCAGGGGTGGGGATAAAAATGGATCAGATAACCAAAGGGAATTTTTCATTTAACACACCGCACTTACAGGTGAAAACTTGATGTTTACAGTGTGATTATAAAAACCTATTGCACTGCCTTTATGTACTGTAGGTCGCAAATACAGGGCTTAGAATCTATTTTCACAAGCTGCAACAAAATCACTGTCAGCCACAGGTGGCTCGCAGACCGCACTTTGCCCACACATTCTCAGGCGGGCACTCATTGCTCGTACAACAGTCGCACGATGAATCCGACTCTGGCCCTGTGAGAGCTGATTGTCAGTGGCAGTATGAATGGATCGTCATTAAAAACGATCCGTTGTGCGCGGGTCATCGCGTCCTTCATAGAATTGTGTCAGCTGCAGTGAGTGCCCAGTTTTAGAGATTCAATAATAACTATTTTTTCAATTTTGATACTTTTATAATGAATAAAGGTGTTGTATTATATTTGTATACTAACCTCCTTTAGTTTGAACTCAAGTTGAGCAGTATCAAGGAGGAGCTCAAACAGCATCTGATGACTAAACTTTGAATCAAACAAAACTTGTTCCCTCACTCTGAAGCACTTTTTATTGGTATCCCAGCCTAGACAAAAGTAGAATGTAAACACCAACAATAGGTCATATATTCTGTTTCAAGTTTTTGAATTCCAATTCATTATTTATAATATTATTCATCATCATTAATGAAGATTCAGCTTAATTGCAAACAATATTGCAAAACAAACTAATGATCTGTAGAACCACAAGCAACAATATCCAAGGGGTGGGGTTTGCCAAAAAAAAAAAAATTACTCAACTAGAGCAGTTGCTCCATAAAGTTCATACCTCTGCCCTGTGCCTGAATACCAATAAAAAGAAGGCAGTGTATGTATGATGGGCAAAACTGCAACATACCCTCAAGAAAATAATGGAATCGCACGTTGTATTCAAGTACATTATTTTCTTGAGTACAGCAACATACCCTCAAGAAAATAATGTTGTATTGAGGACATTTCTTTCTTGGGTGCTGCCTGAATACGAGGGGTAATTCCATTTTCTTTTACGCTCGAATGTAAAAAAAAATGGTGTTTTTCTTCGATTATTACGTACCATTCTACTAAAATTTATGATGGTCCATTTGTTAGTTTTTGCATAATCTTGCTAACAGAGACACAGACAGCAGTTAATACATAATCTCATCATTGTCATCATCACCATGTGAAATAAATACTCGGTAGAATGAAGAGTACATTATAAATAATGGTGCCTGATTAGGTTGCCAATATAAAATAGAGCATTCATTTTCACTCTCATTATTATTATTCTGTAGTACCTGTCTATTAAGAAACATGTGATTAATTCACCAAATGTTATTAAAGTCATGTCACTCATTCTTTACATACATTAAATCTCTTGTTCTCTGCAAGATTAGTTTTATTTTCAGTTTCGTAGACAATTAAGAAGTCACTTCAAATTATAAAAACAAGGAAGCAATTGCTTAATATTGCTTAAATATATAACTTCCTTGTAAAAAAAAAAAAAATTAAATAAAATCATTATTGAAAGTGTATTCTATTCAGGAAATGTGAAAAGCAGTACAATTTGAAAAAGGAAAAATTATCGTTATGTGGCCAAAATTCATCATCTGAAAACATGGCTTTTGCCAAGTATTGACTAAAAATCCAGCAAATCTGCAGTCTCCAGCACACTCACAAGCAAACGAAAATCTATTGGAAACTAATCCATCTCCTGCAGGTGCCAATAATGCATTTATTTCCCTGAGCCCCGCAAAAAAAAAAAAAAAAAAAATCATGAATAGTAAAAATTTTTATTTTGCATGGTTTTATAAGAGTGATTAGGCGAAACTTTTTTTATACCTTGTTTCGGAAATTTTTTTTAAAGATTGTCAGAAAAGAGCGGAAGAAAAACAAAACAAGATTTTGTTTTTTTACTTAGTAAATGGTTTTGCCATACTTTACAGATGGAGGACAAAATAAAAATAAAATTTTATTTTTTGAATGTACTGTAGTGTAGTAATGGGATGGTTAAATGCTTTCAATTTATATAATTAGAAACATATCTTATATTTTTCAAGGCAGGAGCAGGTGTAATAAAAATTAAGGAAAACTTCAATTTTATTCTGATATTTTCAAGTTTTTGTGGCGGCGCGTGTGCAAAGTGGCCAAAAATAAAATTTTATTTATATTTGAATCATCAATATTGACAGGCCGTGGGTTCGTCAAACAAGGTATAAACAAACACTCTTAATTAACACATAATAATTAATTAATTATCTCAAATAGTTTAATTGCAGACAATTTGTAGTGATACTACAATTTACAATATGAAATAGCAGTGTAAGCTTTTGGTCCAGGTCACATTGTACTACAAAAAATATGTCTGGCTCAATTAAAACTTATAGGGCAAGAAGTATCCATCAAGATACCAACAATTTGTAGCACTAATAGCATCAAGTTTGGTGAATAATGTTGCGAAAATAGTAGGCAACTGTTGGATGAGAAGAAAAGGAAATTTCTTACCCAATTATCTGGAAAATGTTTGTCAACAATCTCACGCATCTTTGATTGTTGTGATGACAAGATGTCCGGAGCAAAATAAAGAATAACGTACAACATGGCAGCTTGTGTTGCCAGGGCGGTGCTACGATGTTCGGGTAAAGGATAGGCTGAGATCTGATTGTAAATGTCATCCGACCGCAATCGACCAATCACCATGTTTACAAACATTTTGTTAACAGGTATGCGGCTGTTAAAACAGAATGTGAACGTTTCAAAAATTCCCCATCACACCTTTGTTCTTTGCTTATTTATGTGAAACAAGCATCACAGCCTTGTTTGCCTTTCATACTGTACTAATAGGAGGCGCCCGAGTCCTGGGATGGTGGAGACTCAACTGGTGCTGGACACCGTACATTTTGATAAATCCCTGCTCAGCGACGAGGACGTATCCCCATACTGCGATTTGGGTGCTGGCTTGGATTTTCTCTTTTATTTTTCAGTTACATCTGCTCACTTGTTCTGTGCATAGACTCTCGTATTTTGTGCAATATAAATGATTAACCTTTAACCTTTTCAAATTTTGTTCACAAGAATATAACAGTATTATAAATGAAGAACAGGGGATTAAGCTGGGGGGCGGGAGAGGGGGTGTGATTGTTTTTGGTATTTTAGTACACTTAATGGAACAAATCTGCAATCCCTTTGCAGCCTACACCCATGAAGAAACCACAGTTGAAGTGAAAGTTAGATTCCACCCGCAATTCACACTTCGGAAGAGAGTAGGGGATTGTCTCCTGGAGTATTGCCCAATCATGCCCAGAAGGACTCACTGAAGTCTTTTGACTTTTGTGGGTTATCCTTGGTGTTCCCATCAAACAAATCCAACCCAATCCATTTAACTAATCATATTTCTTCCCTACTACAGCTCTGTCCACACTGTCAGATTCTACGTGACAAATTTATGGGCATGATGATGTCATATTGTCAAATAAAACGTCATAGTGTGGACAGACCTTTATGTTACCTTTTCCCTTTCCTTAGTCCACTATTCTCCAGCTTACCTGAAGAAGGCTTCTGGGTAGTTAGGCACCCTTTTGGCACTTGGATGAGTGGAAAACCCAGTGCTTCGAAGCAGCTTACACACATCATCCATGTTCGAATCAACTGCAGCACGAGCGGCACTAGAAAATTCAACATTCAAATTATTTGAATTTAATTCATAGTGGGCACCCTTAATAGCACTCATTGATAATTTTAATTATTTAACTCACCTATAACGATGATAGGAGACGAGCATCCTCTCTCTGACAATGCCCTCTATTCTCATATCAACCAGTAATAACATAACTCCATATAAGTACAAAGCTTCACACTATTAACAACAAAATAAGTGTTCAATTATATAGATAATGCCTTGTTCAATATCAAATCATATTTGTGCATGTATCAACATTCAGATTCATTATACTTTTCATTCAACAATATGAAATTCATTTCTGCGTATAACAAGTATTAAAAAATTTAACAAATACAACAAAATAAAAAGTACATACAAATATGTAATTAAGCAAATTGAAAATATATGAACATAAATAAAAGCCAGTTAATAACATGCTGTACTAAATTTTCTTCATGTCTGGAGGGAAAGAGGGTGCTATTTTTAGATACATGAAGAAATGTAAATTTAATCAATAAATATATTCACCAGAAGTTGTTTTCCATCTTCATTTAAAAGGACGCTCTCTAGAGTCTGCTGAATGAAAACGCCATCGTCTAAATCATCAAGAAACCTATTAAAAACAGTTCAAAATATATAGTTGTTTATTACCTAGTTCTTTTCAAAGACTAATTAAAAAATGCACATATGTTTTATTACCTTTATTATTATTCATGTTCCTACTTCTTACACATTAGTCATTCAATTCTCTGTTTATTTACTCAATTTATTTACATAACAATTTATTTTTTCAATTCATTTATTGATTTATTCAATCATTCATAATAATTATTCATTATTTATTATATTCTTTACATATAATTCAAATGTACAAGATGGTAATCTCATCATGTAGAATCACTGCTTTATATATTAACAATAATTCATCGATAAGGGATGAACTTGGAATCTCATTTAGCCTAAAAGCTCAACATCAAGAGGAGGTCAGCCTTTTACCTGTTCAAATCTGTGATATATTTGTGGATGCTCTCAAATGCTAAATAAAATCTTCGTAGTATATCAAGATTATTCTCACGAAATTCCTCATCTAAGTCTTGAAGTTCCTTAAAAATAAAACATAAGCAAATGCATAAATTAGAGGTTAAAAAAAAAAAAAGAAGAAAAAAAAAGGATTACAACTTATATTATGAATAGTTATTAAAGAAATAGTCAATCTGTACAATGCCTTGAAACATATAATTAAAAATAGAATACAATGAATAACAATCAATAATTTTGATTTGCATTATTGACCAGAAACAATTATTAAAGCAAAAGAATATTAACATATTCTGAGACTTTTCATTATAATACTAAACATCACATTAAGGAAGACAAACAAAAAATCACCTTACTGGTTTTGAATCGATCTTGTTGTCATAGAAATCAGACCCCTTGAAATAATTAAAATCAAAGAGAATTTCGGAGTACTTCATTTGATCTTGTTTAGTCTCTAAACGAAAGACTGGTGGGATAAAATCCGCTAATCTGAGGAGTTCAGCGATGATAGCATTTCCACGCGACACCAGTTTTACTACAATCTGTCCACACACATTATTTTCAGCTAAGAAATCTGCCATGATTTTCTAAGGAAAAAACAGAGAGAAAAGTGCTATCAATGTTTGACCTTCGAACTTTGTCATTTTATAGAAGCTTCAAAATTTGAGCATTGAGCCAAAAAGCATGACAATAATAATCTTACAATTAATGATAGAACTTAAAATTTAATTTAAATTCAAGGAAATAGTTGAAGCAAAGCAATAAAAAACCGAAACTATTCTTGAACTGCACTTCCTCTTTCTTATATATATTTATCAGTTGATTTCCACATTCTATTGCAATAGCACCTACAAACAAAATGGCTTCCAATCTGAACAACTTTGAAGAGAACGATACACCCAATATGCCTCATGGTGTAGCTAATCAATGTAACCATGGTGATGAAGACTATGTCAACAGTGGCCAGATCTCTTCATTACTATTCCTAATAGGTGTTATGTCATTTTACATACCGCTGCAGATCGCATATTTTAGTGAGACCCACCAAGTTCACGAAGACGTATGTAATTGGATAATCATCACCCTATATGTTATGGCGACTGTTACTATGATACTCATCCTTAAAAGGAATAAATCTTGGTATGAACAAGACTTCATTCGTTACTTTCAAGGTGTGACACGTAAAACAGGAGAGCATCAACCACTCCTCAGACCACCTGGTCTTGCAGGTGAACATCAACCACTCCTCCGACCACCTGGTGAACATCAACCACTCCTCAGGCCACCTGGTCTTGAAGGTGAACATCAACCACTCCTCCGACCACCTGGTGCTGCTGGTGAACATCAACCACTCCTCAGGCCACCTGGTCTTGAAGGTGAACATCAACCACTCCTCCGACCACCTGGTGCTGCTGGTGAACATCAACCTCTCCTCCAGGATTGTCAGCAAGCCAATGAGCCTTCTCAGGTGCCTCTACAGGGTATCTATTTCTTTGGAACATCTACTATTATACTTTGTTTAGCATATATTGTGATAACAGTGACATGTTTGCCATATCTTCTTTATAACAACTATATATATTCAGACAGCATTTTCATTACCAGAAAATGCTTCCAAATGGTTTTCGTATGTGCTCAGATGGTCTTCTTTAGGGTCTTCAGGCGTGCTTCATTTATGAACTGCTCCTGGTTCCATTTTGCCTTTATCATAACCATGTGTGCCAACATACTATCATGGATTGCAAGCATTGCCAAGGAAATTGCCCTCGTGCTTGGAGTTACGCCGTTGTATAGTGATAGAGACTGGCCTGAGTTTAATTTGCTGTACGATAATGAATCTAGTACAGAGGGCTTATGGTGTTACCGTCAAATGATTGGAGATCCACCAATCAGTTACATTGAGGGCGTTTTGCAACCACTTTCGAAAGAGTACAATCTTTTGGCTATTACCATTTTGCTACACTACTGGGTTGGTTTACATTCAGCAAGAACCACAAGCAGAACTAGAGGCAGTGACAGAGGCGACATTAATGGGAACACTACAGGCAACACAAGAGGAAACTCTAGAGGCAGCACTACATGCAACGCTAGCAGAAACATTAGATGCAACACTAGCCGAGACACTACACGTACAGTCAACACTAGCAACACAATTAGAAGAAAGGCCAAAGACAGAATAGAAGACAAAACTGATAATGTCAACATTACAAGGATAGAAAATATCAGCATCAACACAAACGAAACTGAAGAAAACTTGCACCAAATATCACGTAACTCAAAGGTGAAAACTGTCTTATGGACAATCCTGGTGACAGTTCTACCCTCTTTGCTTGTTACTATAATATTCATAAGTACATTTATAAAAAATCCTGTCCACTACTTCATCCAAGTAGTAATGTTGTTGATTTACAAGACAGCAATGCTCATTGTTGCCAGCATAGGTAAGAAGAACCTTGGTAAATCTGGACAAACAATATTCAAAGATTTTAATGGAAATGAAATACTTCTCCTCATTTCTATTAGCGGCATTTTTGTAATGGTCTCATGTAACACTCTTTCAGCAGTTGATGGTATATACTATGAAAGTAGTAATCACTCCACCATCAACACTACCAATACTACACCCCCCGAAAACAGGCCAGCTTATGTAACACTTCTATTGTTTACATTTGTAGACGTGGCCCAAGTTTATCTACAAACAATTCTTATTCTGAAGTTACAGCGGACCATACCTGTAATCACTAACACACAAAATTTAGTTGCTTTGCGCCGCTGTTTTCTTTACCTTGCAATTTCTAATATCACTGATTGGCTGACTCATGTGTTTCTATCGTCTCACATAAATATGTATGCTGTTATGTACCCAAGTAACATTTGGTATTTCAAAAGCAGCACAATTGCGATTATAAATATTATATTTTTTCCATTTGCTTCTTATTATCGCTTTATTTCTGTGATTTTGTTCTACAAAGCAATTATGGCCTTCAACCACGGTTATCGTCTAAGAGTTGTATGAACAGAATATGAATATGTCCCGAATAAATTGACCTTTATTTGCTTTATAAAATTTACAAACAAGCTACACTGTAGCTTAAGCTTAGGCCTAGGGAATGAAAGTTGTAGATTTGTGTCTACCGGCCGCATGCCTAAAAAGCTACTGCACGAAAATTTTCATTATTTTGAAAAAATAATACTTTGTTTTTCATACAAACTTTCTAAGTCGTACACAAACAGAAAAACGATCTCTTAGGCCCTATAATTTCTATAAATGTACTATATTAATTAGGTTATAAATAAATGTGAAATATTAAAAATTTTGCTGCTTGTCAACAAATTAATGGAATGACAGTGTACCAAGAAAAACAATTTTATCAACACAGCTGCACACTTTCTTAAAATTTGAGGATATTAGATAGATTGGCATTTCAGGTAGTTGTTTGCAGATGAGACAAGTTTAATTAAGGTATTTAATTAAGGTAAAATCAAAACGGATACTAAGTTCAAGAAGAGTTTGTCCATTATCATACAAGTAATATAAAAATTATGAACAATCTTTAGCTAAATAATGACAATCAATGTTGATTAAACAGCCTTTATAACAACAAATAACTATGTTAATTTTTATGTACAGTATTGTTTTATTTATTTACCTAAATCATAAATTTACCATCATGTTTAGTCTGCAAAGTTAAGTGTAATGTTTTAATTACCGTAGATAATTGCACAAAACTAGCCTAGTTTTTATTGATTTGGCCCAGCTGTCTGGACTCTCTTTCTACAGTACTAGCGTAGCTTGCTAACTAAGGCTAGGCCTAGTCTGTCAGTAGGCCCGGGCATGCCAGGCCTGCTAGGCGGAGTCGGCCCGCCTAGCTAACTTCGACCCTGCCACACAGGACTAGGCCTAGCTAGCCTTCGACCGGTCTTCCTGGCCTAACACCATAATTTAGCGTATTATACGAAAGGATACTTTAACTAAATGCAAGGAAACGTTACCTTTGTGTGTAATTGTATATTTGAATGGAAGTTAATAAAATCTTTAACTTTTAAAACTGGACTCGGATTTGGAAAAACAAGCACCACAGCGCCTCCATTATATCACACTACATGATGCGCTGCAGCGATAAACAATCTCGTCTCGTGATTGGTGCTGGTGTGATGAATCATACATGACATGACAGGGTTAAAGGCCTGTTTATACTTCCGACAATAACGATAACGATAAAAAACTAAAAAGAAAAAAAAAATAATAATAAATTAAGAGAAGTTTTCACTCTAGGACGATTCGATAACGATTTATCGTGTATACAATACAAAATAATTTCATAAATAAATTCAAATGACGTCATAATAAGTTCAAAAACGATAAAAACGTGGTTAGAACACCGATTTTATCGTTTTTCTATGAAAGCCATAAAAAACACAACACCACACATTTACCCTGATGATTCAAAGTATGCCAAGAAAACCATACATTGTGGACCCTTTCCTAGTATTCTTACTTCTTCATGAAATCATGACTCCCATTTTCACTGAGATTATCAACGCATCTTTATAGTCTGGAATCTTTCCGGACGACTTAATAAAAGATAGGCGTGGTCAGACCACTTTTGAAAAGAATCTTCCTTAGATCCAAATATCATCATGTCTAATTTCTAACATTGCATATCTTTCTTAACTAATTGAAAAATGTGTATCTCTGATGTAGTCAGCTATCTTGAAGACAACAGTTTATTTGTCCTCTTCAATCTGCATATAGGAAAAAGCACAAAAAGGCTAGGCAGGGTCCACTCTTCGTCGCCTGCACTGGTTACCTATTAAGTAACGCAACTCATTTAAAATGTTGCTTTTCACATATAAATCATTAAATAATAAATCACCCTCATACATATTCAACTTGATTAAAATTCGCTCCACCAGTTCTAAAGCTCTCAGCAGATCCACACCTAGTTCATCTGCATTGTCCGTTCCTCCATGTCGTACAAAAACGTATGGGGAAAGAACATTCTCCATTGCTGCTCCAAGGTGTGTGGACCGGAAGCGTGCCTATTTTGGTTCGTGAGTCTCCTGTTGAGATCTTTAAGAATCGTCTTTAAACTCATCTTTTTAGTTTACTTTAATTTGAACATTTCTAGCGCATATAGACCTGTGTTATGCGCTTTACAAATCCCACTTATTATTATAAACTGAATCCCATATATGTGGATATTTATTAGTAAACATAATACAGTAAAGGCTTGTTTATACTTCAACGATAACGATAACGATAAAAAAGCAAAAAGTGATTGTTCATATAGAAAACAAAAGAAATAAGAGAAGTTTATACACTAGGACGATTCGATAACGATTTATCGTGTATATGATAACAAAATATTTTAACAAATCAAATCAGATGACGTCACAATCATGAAAAAACGATAAAATCGTTGCTACTACTACGATTGTAATGTTTCCATGATTATGACGTCATCTGATTTGATTTGTCAAAATATGTTGTTATCGCATAACTGATAAATCGTTATCGAATCGTTCTAGTGTAAAAAACTTCTCTTATTTCTTTTATATCGCGCCGAATTTTGTTGTTGTTGTGGTTGTTGTTGTTGATGATGATGATGTTAATGATAATGATCACGGTATCGAGCCGGTACTACCACAGACCATGTCAAAATATATTAGATATAGGCCCCTAGGCCTATATTTTTTTGAAAACCTATTTTTATAACCATTTAAAATATATCGGCAAGCACGATTTTTAAAAATTTGTTCAACAAACGCCTCGACACGCCCCTTATGGAATTGACTATATGTCACGATTTGCTTGCTTTTGTAATATGAAGATGATTTATTGTCCAGGGGCTGCGCCAACATTGCCATGTTTGGACGGGGGTTGGTATGTGGATGTGAAAAAATGGACCAGAGAACCCAAGGAACGGTGTGCCTCACTTCGGATAAAATTAGGCAATTAATTTTATCCGAAGAATGTCACACCATGTGTGTGTGAAAAAACTAAATAGTAATAAAATGTCTAATCAAACGTACCGCTGAACCTCTCTTTTTAGTTATTACACACTCATAGTTTAACATCGAGCGCTCTGCCGACATTATTTGCTATACGTTCTACCAGCGAGGTAACCAACAGGTTTATAGAAGTTGGGTTTGAGCTACACGTACAGTTAACCTTTATTTGTCCTTCTTCCTTCTATTATATTTTGGTAATAGGCCGATTATTATTTTGACAATTGAATATACAGGCAAACATTTTTAGTTTTCAAATTAAGTTTTAATTTCAGGCTTTTGTTTTGTAACGGATGCCAATGATATCACGTGCCATACACTCGCTATGTCCTTGAAATCATTAAAAATCTTCTCTTATTCTACTAAAACAAGTACAGAAACTGAAACTGATTTTCATAGAATAGGCCTAAACCTTATGTTTCAATTGCATGAAGAAAAAGCACAAGTCAACGCGACAGTTAACATCACTATAGATATCTCTTCGGAAAGAACGATGTCCTCTTTATCTGAGATGACAACAAGCTTAGAGGAATGGTCAGATTTGGAAATAAACACAGGAAGAGCTGGCATCAATTCAGCGCAATCAGATTCAAAATCAAAAGCCAGTGACTATGTCCACGACGGCCGAGCTTCCTCTTTGATAATGTTTCTTGGCATTATTTCCGTTTACACTGCGATAATTATTGCTTTCTACAATAGTGGACAGAAATCTATACGTTCAGACGCTTTGAATATAATCTGTATTATAATTACTTCAATTTCAACAAACATCATGATCCATATCATGAGACACAACAGACCTTGGCAATGGTTTGACTTCATCAGAAGCTCAAAAGAGTTATCACCAGACCCGATGGATAATGAACGTCAACCACTCCTTTCCCCATGTCCGTCGACCAAAATACGCCACCAATCCGAACATATTGCCGGCATATACCTTTTTGGAATTTGCGATGTTATACTTACCTTGTCTTATGTTATTTTCACTGGAAGCTGTTTGCCGGTGCTATTGAGGAAAATTGACAAATACAGACTCATCGTGTTTAATATATCAAGGTGTTTGCATTTGATTTTCACATGTGCTCAGATGGCGTTCTTTAGATTCTTCAGAAGTTCGTCATTCAAGAACTGTTCCTGGTTCCAGTATGCTTTGATTATAATTATGTCCGCAAACATTTGGGCTTGGATGGAAAACGTCGCAAAGGAAACTGGGAATGTGCTTGGAATTAAAGTAGATTATAAAGAGATGGAATGGCCATTTATCGATTTACAAGCAGCAAATAATTCTAATTCCAAGGATAAAGTTGTTTGGTGCTCAAATGTAATGACGTCTGGCCCTCCTATAGAGTTTTTCTTGGATATTTTTCGTCCGTTTTCTAAAGAGTACAGTATTTTAGCTGTAAGTATTATCTTGCACTACTGGGCCGGGTTGCATTCCACGCCAAGGAACACCGGTGACACCACAGGAAGAACTGGATACAACAGTGCCATCATTAGAGGAAACACAATAACCAGCAACATTAGTAACTTCAACGTACAGAGAAGGCGGAATGAGAGAAACAACAACACAGTTAAGGAAACCGACCACTGCATCCAACGCATATGCACAAACAAAAGAACATTAAATAGCTGCTTGTGGATCACGTTTGTACTCTTTTTATTTCTTCTATCTGTGTGTGTGTTTAGTATTACGTGGATTTATACATACTTTCATAATAATGATGTGCCAGCGGCCATACAAATTTTCGCTCTGTTGATTTACAAGACTGCAATGATAATAGCTGCAGGACTTGGCAAGAAATATTTAAATGAAAATCGACAGACAATGTTAAAATCTTTTAACAGAAGCGAAATACTGCTTATTTTCTCTTTGATAGGCGCGAATGTTATAGTTTGGTGCGAGGGCATATCGGCGACTGACAATTTGATACAGGATGTTAGGAATCTAACTGGTAATACGACTAATGATGGAGATGCCTCATACATTGCTTATAACATTGTGACTCAGGTTGGCATTATTATGTTGACAGTTGTAAATATAGTAGAAATTTATCTACAGACAATACTCATCCTGAGAATGCGACGAACGTGGAGTGTCAATGCGCGCGCTGCAGTTGCCTTGCGACGCTGTTTGATGTGTTTAATGATTTGTAACGCAACTCATTGGTTGAATGATATCTTTATTTCCCCGCTCAGCAACAACACCTACTCCTCACAAAGCAATGACTTACTTTTTGGAAAAACGATAGTTATAATTAACATTATCTTCGCTCCTCTTCGTGCATTTTACCACTTTACTTCCTTATTTTTACTGTACCAAGCAAGCAAGTCCTTTAAACAAGGCTAATTATTGCAATTTAAATCCTACACATGAAAAGTAAGAGCTTATGGAATGGACCTTTCCGAAGTGTCAATCAAACTAAACTGTCCAATCAGAAAATGGTCAGGAATACGCGCGCGTCTCACAAACACACGTGTTTGCGTTGTTTTTACATGGTCATTTTGTGGGAAATTAGCAAAGGGGCGGGTCTTAACGGAAAATTCCATTGTTCTTTTCTGGTTAATAACTTTATAAATTATGGATTTGCTGGACTTGCCAGAAGTCCCTTATTATTTTTTCTCAATCTCCAACGAGAAAGTTAATTTTAATCAGTAAAAAAAATAAATAAATAAATAAAGTAAATAAATTAGGTATGGTGCGCAATAAGCGCAATAAAGAATGAGTAACCCAAAATTAGGGCCTGGAACCCAGGCCATGGATTTGCTAACAGATCTATCCATAGTGGTTTATATTCATAATGCAGTTATATTTATAAGCCTACAGTCTCTAGATAAAAAATTATCCAGAACGTGAATTGGAAAGTAGGCCTAATGGCATTATAATTTCAGAGCTGTGATTGTGATTATAATCACTAGTAATAAATAATAATAATAATAGTAATAATAATAATGATAATAATAATAATAATAATAATATAATCTTTAAAAGATTGATATGAAAGGCTGATAGATTTAAATTAATTAATTAGTTTTCAGAAAGTTTGTGGCAAAGGTTAAGACGTTAGGATTAGGACAGTAGTGGAATATAATAAGGTTAGAATATAGGGAAGGCTTTTCAGATGTAGAGAAATATT